TCTTAAAGATGAATATAGAGTAATTTTTTAAAAAAGGATGGGGTGGCTTTGAAAATCACTCCAAAGTTTAGGTTAGTCTGTTGTAGGTTTAGTTACTCGCTACCCAAATTTTGTGTTTAAACTTCACAGACAAGGGGATATGACTTTTTATACAGTTATTTAATCATATTTTAGAAAGATAAGCAAGCAAAGCAAAAAACCCAACATCCCCCTAACCCACCAAAACCAACACAAAACCACTAAACAAACCTATGAGAAAATCTCCACACTTCTTTCTGTGTAAGCAGATTAATAGGTTTTAAAGAAGATAATGCAAGAATAAGGGGATAAGGAAGATGTGGATAATGGCTTTGCCTAGTGAAAGACTCAGAGATTGAACTTGAAAGACTGTTATTGGTGTCTCCATTGCCATTGCTGAGACAACAGAACAATGAGTCATTGTAGATTTTGAAAATCTTTATAGTATGATTTTCCACCTCATTTCAATGTTACATTGTAAATAAAAATATTTACTAATTTATACAATATTAAAATAGGTTGAAATTAATCATACATTTCCTACTTCAGAGTAATTGTCTCAGGATATCTAGGGATTCAGCTTCAACACAGTAACTCTTAAGTATGATTTCTGGAGTCAAGAGACCATTCTTAATTTTTCTGCAGTATTAAGAAATCGGTATGGACCTAGCATAATGCAGATTGTGGCTAAATCTAGAAAGGCCCTGTAGAAGTGAACCTCTAGCAAATAACCTTGTAAAGGTGTCTCTTCTTATGTATCAGAAAGTAGAGATAGTGTATAGGGTTATTTCCAGGTGAAAGATTTGGACAGGGTGTTGTCAACACTACAGCTTCATAGAGGTCCACCTCATATTTTAAAGGAAAACAATAGATGAATTGGCAGTGGATAGAATTGACTCAAAGGACATTTAGGGCACAAAATAAATACAGTGCTGTTTGTATCTTGTAAAGCTGTTTACTAAATTTGGAAAGTTTCAGTTGGAGGAGGTTTGATTTGGCATTATTTTGATAGTATACTGTACTGTTGACATTTTCTCAATTCTTCAACTGTAGAAAGTGTGCTTTGGTTCTACTTTGTTATAAGTATCATGCCAATTTAGAAAAAACTATCAATGTAGGTTTAATACTCAGCCTTTGGTTTCCATTAAAGGGCTCATAAGAGCAGTGTAACTTTTGCAGACTTTTTTGCTGAAAGTTCTAGATAAACCTTGCTATAAACTACTCGGTAGATTTGCTAGAAAAGCTTGTGATTGAGTGCTATGTATGCTTGCCTTTTTGCTTCCACCTAGAATCCAGGGCCATTACTTTCTGTAACCATTTCAGTGAGCTGCCATAGTTTTCAGTCTGTACTGTCACCTGATCCAAGCATGCGCCAAAATACCCACTGTTTCTGGCTACTGTCTGCTGAATCTGCTTTGCAAACCCTTAGTTCTTAAGCTTTTGCCTTAGCAAAAACCAAACAGACACTCTTACAGAGTGTACTGGACACATGCCATCCTGCTTCCCTAACTCCTCTAATTGTTTATGTAAATCCTTAGCTTTACTAAACTTGTAAATGCTACAGTGGCATCCCCGTGTGAAATTGTGTGGCTCATGTGTCAAAAAAGGCTGCTTGTGAAAATAATTGTCAGAAGAATATGAATGCTACACATTGCACTGCATTCAGTGTTTTGTATCAATTTATTATTGCAATGTCATGGTGTTTGATTTTAATTGTAGACAATCATTTTGCGTTTTAATATGCAAAGGTAAGTTCATGTAAACTGAATGTACAGTGTTTCTGTATAAGCATACTGATCTGTATTTTTGGCTTATTTCTGGAAGAAAAAAACCACTTGATTAAATGTTTTAAGCAGAGGGCCCAGGCTTCTTCACAAACACTTGTTTATGCATGACTCTTATAGAATTTATTTAAGTTGTACAATTAGAATTGTTAGTTGTTTTTTTTTTTAAATAACACTGAAGACAATGGCTGGAAAATTATTCTTATCTCTAATAAGAATAAAAAAATTATCCATTATATTACTCGAGTTAATAGTTAATTCTGATGTTGAGCAGAGTAAAGGGTCAAATGCTGTTTTAGCAAGACAGTGTTGATATGTGCTTTCTGTTATGATATGGCGTTCTTTTAGATGATTTAGGTGTGTTAACTGTCCTAGAAACTTGTTTTTAAACTTTAAATTAAACTATAAATTTATGTGGAGGAAAGTTGAATGTTTGCATAGGGTTTGGGACCCGTCATTATTTCTACCTTTTCTGTTCCCCTTAAGCTTATCTGTTCCCTTTCAACATTTCTTTCTGTTTTAGTTTTTACTGTGGCTACATACCTCTTTGGTGTCATATTCTTGTTTGTAATCTTATTCTTTATTCCACAGCACTTTCCCTGTTCATTCCCAGTCACTTCACCTGTTTCTCACTTCCAACTCCATCATGACTTTACATTTTCTTGCACTTTTTATCCTAGAAAGGTCATTGGTGACAAGTAGGAACAGTTTTTGCCAAATGGTACCTAAAAGTGTGAAGAGAAAAGTGATGATTTAGTAAAATTGGCTTTTTGTTTTTATGTCCAGAAAAAGGTTACTTCTTCTTTGCAGGTGTTCTTCTGTGAAGTACAAAAAGTCATGTGGCTGTTAGTCAAGGTTTATAGCCAGCTGCCTGTGATCAAGTCTACTTGAGCAAGAATTGTTCTGCATAGTGAACCACTTTTCCTTTTAGTGACACATTTCTGTTGTAAACACTGATAAGCAATCTTCTTGTCCGTGATTGGATGAGGAAAGAGGAATTGCTCCCAAGACCAATATCCATTCTACCATAAAGTGTTAGTGATAACATTTGCAAAATGTGTTTGTGGTCTCACATCTCCGATCCAGTTCTCTAGTTTGTCAGATCTGGTAGCTTTTGCCTTAAAATAGATTTCCAAAGTTGTTCCATTCACCTACCACAGCTGCCGTTAACTGGTGGCAGCAGTCACAGCCTCTGTTCAGGAAGAGATGTGCATGCAAAAGAGAGGCATCTTGCCTCCTACTTCCCTTTGTATACCACAAGTATTCTCACAAGAGAGCTTGGGAAACCCAATCCTATGGTGTGATGGGTTATTTCTGCATGATTATCATCATTTGAAAGCTGAAAAGTGTGAGACCTTGCTATCAGCCACCTGAGTCGGGATTACTGTGTATTATATCAAGCATTTGATTTTCCTAGGCAGTGAGTGTTTAAGCAGTGTTTTCACATTGAGAGACCACAAAGTGCAGTACCTCAAGATTCTATTAGTAATGCATTGAAACCTGCTGAGGATGAATTTGGATGTAATGGAATGTGTTTGATACAGTTCATGAAAATCCTAGTTTGTTTTGTGTGTTAATGTGTATATTTTTGTCTTGGTTGTGGAGAACCCTCCTAAAAACTGTCACTGTAGGGTTTTCTTGTGTTCAGTGTTCATTTCTTAAAGCAAAGGTGGAATAAACTTCAGTTTGGACATACAAAGTCGCTGATAGTACGGTGCTATGAGGTATACAAGTATTAACATCTGAAGTTAGCTATAGCTGAATATTTATACCTCTGTGCTCTTTGTTTAATTAGAAAGTGATCATTATTTTAGAAAGTGGAATGCCAGTTCTAAATGAAAAGTTGAGGTAAATTCATGAAAGAATGCATCTTGCCGTACAGTATTTTTCTTTCAGTAAATTTCAAAATGTGTATATCTGCATGTTTCATTTTTGTTCGTCATGTTGTCAGAGAACCTAGTGTATGATAGAGGGTTATCATACACTGTATTTATAATATTCCTGATAGTACAAAATCGGTTCCCAATGACTCTCAGGTTTTGACATTGATATTTTAAATCATGATTCAGCAGGGAGATCTCAATGGTTCGGAGTTGGTATCTGTGCAAAGTTTAATTGATTTCAGGAAAATTATATAAGAATCTATCTATTCAGAACCGTTCACAGCATCTGAGTGCTTTTTGTTTCTTACTGTTTTTCCCATTTTATCTATAAAAAATTAATATAGTTTTCAACTAAGTTCATTGGTACAGGTAAGCCATTTTCAAAGGAGAAACAGTTGGCAAACTTAACTGTAAATGACAATACTCGTTGACTTTGTATGTAAAAAGCTTGTGAGATGAGCTTTAGTTCTGCGAATCTAATTGCTGAACAGTTAAAATAAATGAATTGCATAAACTTATTCCAGTAGCACTCTTTTTTTTTTTTTTTTTTTGCGTTTTTAGTGTAGTGTTCAAGAAAAGCAGATAACATTTTAACGTACAAGATCAAAGACAGTAAAGGTTATTAGAGTTTTGAGGGGGGGAGACAGAAGGTGCAGTTGCCAGCATACTGAAGCAAAAAGGCATCAGAAACCACATAATTAACATACATCTTGTGCTTAATGTTGTTAATGTAGTAGTTTCAAATAACTATGGCTTTTCAAAGTTAGAAGTGCTGAAATAAGGAATAGAGAGCTGTGAGCTTGATTAGTGATAATATAATTAACAGAGAACTGCTTGCAGCAGGAAAAACTATTGAGGTTATTTCAAAAATACCAAGTGTGTACCCAAGTGAAATACAACTTCATCACTACAAATACTGTTTCATTACTACTACTGCTTTTTTGATATTATAGCATATCTGTGATGCTTTGTTGTAAGTTACATGCATCTCTTGTGCTGTTGGAACTGACGGTATGGCTTTCAAGTGGGTAGAGATTGGAACAGTATCTACAGTATTTTGGTGTTATTTGTCATATGGATAGCAACAAGACTGCAGTAATTTGTCAGAAGCTATTCATGTGGGTGATAAACAAAAAAATTGGTAAGCATGAAAAAGCCCTGTCAAGTGTTTGCTTGGAGTATGATAGCTAGGAAATAAAGTGTCCAGATACAAAAAAACTCTTACATATGAAAAATTCAACTTTTCAGATGAATTGCATGAAGCTTTATGTGACATAGTGCAGAATAGTGAACTGATTTATACTTTGTCTTTCAGATGAACCAGAAACACGAGATGCATGGTGGGCAGAAATCAGACAAGAAATAAAATCCCATGCCAAAGCATTGGGTTGTCATGCTGTAGTGGGCTACAGTGAATCAACTAGCATTTGGTAAATCATGATGATGATTTGAATTTCAAAATGCCAGAGAAAATTTATTTCCTCTTCAACGGATTAAAAATGATTCAACACAGTTTTTTTGTTTTGTATAGTACACCTACTTCAGAGAGTTTGTTAAAGTAACTTTCTGAGATTTCAGTATTGTGCTTTTTTTAATGTGTTTTGGTTTGGGGTTTTATTGGTTTTTAAGTTTTTTCTAATGAATGTTACAAGTTTTATTAAAACAAGAAAAATCAAACTGATGTATTTGCTTTGGTAGTAATATTGATTTATCTATGAAGTTTTCTAGAGCTAATCTACCTAAATAGTTAAGACGGTTCTTGAAAGTGTATGTATTGTAGATTCATTAATGAGGACAACTGGCAGACCAGTACTTAAATTGTAAACTTCAAACTTAAGGCACAAGTTAGTAGGAATGTATTAATTGTAAGTTAAAGGAGAATATGCTGCCTGATAGATCTAGACTACTTTAGGTGTAAATGTTCTGTTATTTCTTTCTAGAACATGTGCAATTATTTTTGTCTTTCAGTACCTCAGTAGTGTTTAACTGTTAAACTGCAGCTCTGCAGTAGTCACTCCAGTGTCTTAAAGAAAAAGCAGAAAAGATTTGGAGATTTGGTGTGTTTTTTTTTGTTTTTTTGTTTGTTTGTTTGTTTTTTAGAGAAAAAACAAAACCCATTGAATATATTGTTTTTTTCATATAGCTTAAATTTTGGAAGTCAAGTGCTTGTGCTAACAGAGTAAGAAAACTGGAGAGCTGGGTCGTTTTCCCAATGCTGTCTTGTCTGGTTCTTTCTTGGTGTATTAACGTTTGTATTTTTACATCAGAATTGCAATGTGCAAGTTCCCATTGCTGGGGGATGAACTTGCACTAAAAATTAAAGGTTTATTCCACTGTCAGTCTCCTTGTAAAAAGCATGAATATTTAGGTTTGTTTTTTTTTTTTTTTTGTACCTTAGCTATGAGGAGGGAGTGTACATAGTATAGATGGGCAGTCAGTTTCATTTTTTGTTAAGTAATTTAATGGCATAATATTTGATTGTCAGCTGAATAGTTCTAGATTTCCCATGCTTACTTGCCAGTTCAGCTTAATTCCATGGTTAAAGAGTAAGTCTCTGCAAGTACTGGTCTGCCACATATGTTATGTATGAAAAATTATTCTGGAAAGAGAAACAACAATAAAAAAGGCACATGTGTCATTTCAGAAAATGCGGGAAAGCTTTTCTGCATATTTTTTCCAAAATAGTATTTTTAAGTACTGCATATTAGATTTGTTTCTTATTTAACAATTTCAGAAATGCCAAAAGTTCTGTGGTCATAGTTTGCACTTTTGACAGCTTTAACTGTTAAACAGTGAATATGGTCAGTTACTTTATATGCTATTATGTACCATTGTTGTAGTTGTTTGTAGTAAAATTTTACTGTTTTGCTACTTTTTATCCTTCGAGAAGCACCCTTGTCAGTGTTGTATTGTAACTTCATTTGAAAGGCAATGTTTTTAAGATGATGAGGCTCTCAACTTCTGTTTCACTTTGGTAAACAGTTATGCCCAAGGTTTTTTTTAATGTTTCTTTTGCTTTTGTTGGTAGTCTGGATTTCTTTGCATTATTAACTATAGTATTGAAAACCATACTTAAACCTGGTTAGCCTTTGTGATGTTACAGTGTATTATTTATAACATAGGGCAAAGCTCTTCAATCTTTCTGAATATCTTACTTATATATTGGTTTAAATACCAGAAGAGCATTGTTTGTGAGATTTAATGGATAAAATTGCACAAATACACAAAATTAGTTGTTATATTGAGACTTTTGTACCAGCCTTTTAATCATAATAGTTTTAAATAAAAGTAGCACTAAGTAGTAGGAATTCACTTTGTTGTAATTCTTTTCTCTTACAGTGAAGAGGTCTGTATTTTGTCTGCATCTGGCACAGCAGCTGTACTGAACCCTAGGTTTCTTCAGGATGGCACCATGGAAGGCTGTTTGGAACAAAGGTTGTCATGGCAGCCTGGCTTCTTTTCCATAGGGTCAGAGAAGGGAGAGGTTGATTTTTTTCCTCAGAGCCAAGATAGTTCTTCTCTATTAGGGTAGGTTACAGAGTTACAGTGCAGGATGCGGGACCAACCACTTTACTGCTTTTCACTAACAACAACAACAACAGAAGTAATGGAACTCTGCACCAAATTAGATATTCTTTTTTTATTTCTAACAGTCTGAATAAGGTAACACATTTGACTACTAACCACAGATCATAATTCAGTTTTTTTTTCTTTGTTGCTCTTCAGGTATCTTTCTGAACTTTATAGCACTCTACAAAAAATGACACATGTATGATAAATTACATAAGCCAAAAACTGCAGTGGCTGTAATATGTGTATATATGCTTTATCTATACTATTTAAGAGCTGTATGGGACCTAAAATAGCTTGATTGTAAACCAAAGCTGGTGCCAGACTTTTGTAAAAGGATATATGTTTTAATTAAGTTAATGAACAAAATCACAAAACTGAAGGAAAACCATGAAGTTTCCCTTTGTTTCTGTTCTTGTAAATAAAATTTGAAGAATGAGTGTTGACAAACAGTTATTTTTGCAACAAATAATGCATATTGGCAATTTGTTAATGTGTTTGTCAGGATAGTCATCAAATATCTCAAGGAATTACTGTAGTCATAAATAAGGCTATTTATTACACCTTAGCACTTAGCATTCCGTTTTCCATGAATAACCTGTCCACCATAGTATTATTTATCATTATTTTATTTTGTTAGCAGGAGGCCATTATCTTCTTGTATAAATAGACTTTTGAAAACTGTAGCCAGAAAAAAAAAAAATTTCTATATTCATTATATGATGGAGAGAAAAAATTATCATGTTCATAATATGAAGAAAATTGCATTTTTACCAAAATACGTATTTTTTGATGCTACTAAAAGTTTTGGGATAGATTAGAAATGCCAAAGGAAGGTAAAACAACTAAACAGACAAAGCCTGTGTTTGACACAAAATATACTTGCCGAAGTCTATAATAACTAATGTTCCAAATCTGTCAGATTTGCTTAAGCATCTCTTCAAAATTCACTGAGAAGGATTGTTTATGCAAAGCAGAATAAATTTGCAGTAATGCAGTTAGCCTATGCTTTCCTTGTTCATATTTTTGCAGTAGTTATTCCTAGATATTTCATACGGAGGAGCAGGACTAAGTGTTCTAAGTGAATAACAATTTTTACCCAAAACCTTATATTAGGAAAAATCTTGCTATTCTTCTTAAAATGTTAATATATATTGTGCTGCTTCTGAGTTAGGATAGTTGATTTGTTGTTTATGTTCTGCTCATTAGGTTTGTGTATGTTTTTGGACACAATCCATATAAAAGACCATTGTATTTGGTACCTCAAATTCTCTGTATAACTGTTGTACCATGACTACATTTAGAAATTGTAGTGCCTAAAGCCAGCTCAGTAATGTTTCAGGTTTATAGAAATTGCTGGTCATTGTATGTATCATTTTTTGATCCCTGTATAACAAGTTCAATGCAAGTTTTATTTATAGCATTTTTTTCTAGTAGCGTGCAGCCAAATTCTGTTCTTCTAATTTATAAAATGCAATACTTGTCACATTGGTATAAGGTTGCAGTGTATGATTTTTATAGGTATCTGTAGGTGTTGATACACATATGTGTATATTGATCATTGTTAATAACATGCAGATATTTTAAATATGTTCTCCATAATGTATTTTTAGGATTGAAGAAACTTCACCACCAGGTTGTGGATTTTGCCATATACCATATGATGAACTGAACATGCCATTCCCTGCTCACCTCACTTACTGTTACAACTGCAGAAAGCAAAAAGTTCCTGATGTTCTTTTCACCACAATTGATCTTCCTGTAGAGGCAATAGTTATTGGGAAGGGATGTCTTATTCAAGCCAGGTATCTATAAAAATGTTTACTTAGTCAAGTTTTGGAGATCTTTGAAAGAATTCCTCTTGCTAAAATTCAGCATGTCATGGAATCGTATCATAGAATCGTAGAATAGCTTTGGTTGGTAGGGATCTTAAAGATAATTTAGTTCCAACTCCCCTGTCACGGCCAGGGACACTTTCCACTACGTCAGGTTGCTCATCAAACCTTGATTAATGACAGTGTATTAAGGTACAGGAGGAAGAGGAGGACAGCCTTCTCCTCCCCCGGTTATATGTTGTGTCTGTTGATAGTCTGGTGACTTACTCAGGTTGATGGACGTTTGATGTGGTCATACAGCTATTGCGCAGCTACAGTTGGTACAAAAGCTATTGATGTCCATAACTGGGCAGGATCTCTATAGAATTGTTGGCTGTGTACAGCTTATGCTGTGGTATTTGAACTTGAAAAAGGGATAAGGTGGTTTACAGTGGGAAAGAAAGAGAGTTAGCTCTGTACACTGTGTATGGGTTTCTAACTACATGGATAAGTAACTGTTTGGATGGTCGGGCTGAGAGGTAGTGATGTATGGTTTGTAACTGGTCTGGGTGGCCATGACAAGTGTAATAGTCGGCAGTGGGATCTGTCCTGTTGAACAACTTCATGTTGTGAAGGGAATGATATACTGCATTCTCTTCAAGTTTGCCAGATACACAAAGATGAATGGCACACCAGACAATATGATACCTGTCCAGTTTTGCCCTGTGAGACTAGCATGTACACCAGAAAACTAGAGCAAGTTCACTGGTGGGTCACCAGAGTGGTAAGGAGCATCTGCCCAATTAAAAGAAATTGTGGGTGCTGGACTTGTTCAGTCCAGAGAGAGGAAGAATTTAGGGGGACCTCATAGCAGCCTGCCAGTATCTATTAGGAGGTTATGGAACATGTGCATAGCCAGGTCTGCATAGTGGGAAAGTGAGAGATTGGGCCTAAGCTGAAGCAAGAGAGATTCAGAGTGAATATAAGGAAGCACTACTTATCATGAGGGCAGTCATGTAGTGGAGATTTCTTAGGAGGTATGAAATCTCAGTCTTTGGTGATGAGACCTGAGCGTCATGGTCTGAGCTTAGGGTTAAGCTCTGAGCGTCATGGTCTGAGCTTAGGGTTACTTTCTGTGTTGCCTATTCTTATTGTTAATATAAATATGCAGTTTTCTATTAAAAATGGAAATCAGATCTTAGTTATTGAGACTCAGTGCCTCAGTCTGCCTTGATTTTCCTGATGAGAATTTAATGTTTTACAGGATTTTAAATTACATTGAAAAAGAAACTGATTGTATCAGGTTATATAACAAAAAAAAGAAGAAAAAAACAACCCTGTGATCACTTTCAGTCTTCAGTCCATTAAAACTGTTCATCTGCTGATGTCATGTACTGTTTCTTCTTATTGTCAGGTTATGCCGTCTAAAGAAGAAAGCTCAAGCTGAAGCAAATGCAACAGCTATCAGTAATCTCTTGCCATTTATGGAATATGAAGTGCACACCCAACTGATGAATAAACTGAAGCTGAGAGGAATGAATGCTCTATTTGGGCTGAGAATTCAGATCACTGTGGGTGAAAATATGCTGATGGGATTGGCAGTAAGTATGATTTGAATCTTTGAATTCTTTTGCTTTCTTACAGTATTTTTTCAGCACAAAAAGACATGCAGGTATTGTGGAATACAGAGTAATGTAACATTATAAACATGATAAAAGAGGTCATGGAAGGGAACAAGGTGTCAAATTGTTGACAATTCAGGACAGACTGTCTTTCAGCACCAAATAAAGAATTACAGAATCTCTTGAAACTCTGTTAAAGGACAAAATTATTAGAAAAGGGATGAGAGAAAAATAAATGGTTTAATGACATAAATTACAGAGAAATTACAGTGTTCTTCAAAGGTCATGTCAAAGAGATCCCTGTAGTTCAGGTTACATTAGAATTTCATTACAAGTAAGGTAAATAAAGTCTCAGTAAATCTTTTGGTTTGTTGCTAACAAAAGACAGGTCTGTTGCATCGTCTTTGGCACTGAAGAAGTAAATGATAGATCAGGAGTTTCTCACAGATAGTCATGAAGTGTTCACTAACAGTATTTTCTAACCTCATTCTGTCATGTGGGGTTAGAATAGTGAAGTATGCTGCTTCTTCCTGCATCAGTATGAGATGATGTTTAAGTAATATAGACTGGCTTGCATTTTCTTTTATCTGAACTGTTGATCTGTTTTCTGTAAATGAAAATGGGATTGTTACACCTTCAGTGATACTGCAAATGGTTTGGCCGAGTTTTAAATCTTTGCAGCCATCACTTGCCTAAGCAAAACATACCGCAACAGAGGTTTTAATTTATAGTTTATTTGAAATGCATAGGTAAGTTAAGGACTCCACGATGGAAAGAACCCATGAGAAAGAAAGGCTTTATTTAAAGGATAGTGTGGGGTGTTTGGGTTTTTTTTGTAAGTGAACAGAATAGAAAGATCACAGGAAGAGAGGATACTGTAATGTGCATGGTACGGTGCTGTATGCTATAGCATAAGCATCGTGGAAAACTTTATATGAAAATACTAGAAGTATATGTTTATGTAATTGTAACTTTTCTTAATGACTTTTTAAAAGTCTGCAACAGGTGTTTATCTAGCAGCTTTGCCAACACCTGGTGGTATTCAGATTGCTGGGAAGACTCCAAATGATGGCACCTATGAGCAGCATATATCTCACATGCAAAAGAAAATAAATGATACAATAGCAAAAAACAAAGAACTTTATGAGATTAATCCTCCAGTAAGTAAAGCTTTTATATTCTTAAAGCATTCTGAGTCAAACAGATATATACCATGTATGTCTATGAATTCTTACTGAGCTAATCATTCAGAACATAAGTTTTTTTTTTAATAGAGATACAGAGTCTTTTCACTATATTTTGTAAACCTACTGGAATTTTCAGATCTCTTAAGTCACATAACCAAATTGGTTTGTACTTATTTAGATTTATTTCTCAGTAAAATTATTTTCTGAATGTTCTGATTCTTGGAACTGTTAACATTGTTTATAGTTGAAATTATTTCTAAGCTACATAGAGCAATGTTAATTTGTATATCTTTTTTAGGAGCTACCTGAAGAAATCATTGGGTCTCCCATTCCAGAGCCAAGACAACGTTCCAGGTTATTAAGATCTCAGTCAGAAAGCTCTGATGAAGTTACAGAGCTAGACCTTTCACATGGGAAAAAGGATGCTTTTGTCTTGGAGGTGATGGATGTTTTCAGTACTCCTTTTCATATTTCTCTTTTTCTGAAATATATGTGAACATATGGAGTAAACTTTTCTCAGTTATCTCCAAAGGCAGTTGTTAAATTATATATAATTTTTTTGGGTTTTGTGTCAGTGGAAAATGTTAAGTATTGGAATTCCATTGTCTCTTATTCTAGCAATATCTGGAATAAAAGCTGATAAGAAATGCCCTTCTGTGTACTTCAAGCAGGAGTCATGACTCATCCAAAATTTAGATATATTTTTATAAGCATTGAGCTTCTGTATTGTCACACTTAATAGCAATGACTTATGTCTCATTGGAATAGGCAGAGAATGATCACGTCAGTATAATACAGACCTTATGATGAGAGCTGCAGTAGCCAAAGGTCCTCTAGCTGTTGTGTGGAACCTTCAGCATTTTCAGTTGCTTTTAAAATTTTTTTTTTATCATTTTTGTCTTGTACCTATTGCAGTTTCTGTGAGTTCTGTGCACATTGCTTTATTTTTAATACAGTTTAATTAAGGGAACTATTTTTCAAGTGTTAAGCATATCATAGGCTGCTAGCTAAGATTTATGAGTCTGGTTGATGGAATCCTTTTTTAAAATCTCAGCTTAATTGCCTGATAGAGATCTCTTGATGACAAAGTTCTTAAATTTTTCTGAGACTTAGGAGTGGAACAGCAACATGATTTTTAGCAATTACTCTTTTTCCCAGATTGATGATACAGATGCAATGGAAGATGTACATTCTTTGCTGACAGATGCTCCACCACCTTCTGGTAAAGTTAAAACAATATTTTTCTGATTCATATTGTAGGCTGCAAAATTGTAGAATCTTAGAATGGTTTTGGTTGGAAGTGACCTTAAAAATCATCCAATTGCCAATCCCCCTGCCACAGGCAGGAACACCTTCCACTAGAGCAGGTTGCTCAAAGCCCCAGGTTGTATGGGGCAAAATAGATGACAAACTTTAGACTGAATGGCTAAGTTGTTCAGGGTCATTGAAATTAGAAGTACAGAGAGACAAATGGTCTTTAAGTATTTGTAGCCGTGTAATCTGGCAGATTGGCGTTGTATTCCAAGACTGTTATTTAAGGTGAGCGATTTGCCCTTCCAGCACTCTTGTTCAACAAGTGCATTTATATTTTCCTTGTTTTGTGGCTGTGCCATACTATCACTTTAGGCATTTGGCTGTTTGCATTTTGAGTCTGTGTGTGCCTTCAGTGTTCATCGAATTTTGCATCAAGGTGTGTACTCATCCAAGAGCCAGCTTCTTACACATGGTTTCTTTCAGCCACTTTTTCCTTTCTCTAACATTCAGAAGAACAAGGAATCATTGCTGTACGTCAGTGTTCTTTGTGCTGTTTGTTGTCATATAGATATCTGTCTTACCCTCCTTGATGCAACTTCTGGCTCTGGATGTAGTTGTTCCTTATATGGAAGTTACTCAGTACATTTGGGTGTCCTTGTTGTCCCTCTCTTGTCTTTGTGAGTTTCCTTATGTTTCTTCTGAGCATGTATCAGTTCTCTTCCTAATAATCGTTACCAGTGTTTATCATTGAGTACTGTTGAGCTCAAAACTATCCTTGTCAGAGTTATCTAGTATTACCAGCAAATCTTTTATTCCTCATTGATTATGCTTTGTTAGGTCCTGCTGCAGTTGATTTTACTACCCTAAACTAAGGCCGTCGGCAGTCATTTCATATTACCCTCTTTGCAGATAATATCATGAATACATTGGAAGCATACAATCCTGAGTTACAGATGTCTCCACTGTGAAAATTGAAATTATCAAATGCTTTTTGATGTCCAAAGAAGATTGTATCAGTCAGATGCCTTTTGCCTACATGCTTGTAGACAACTTGTGAGCCGTGACTGTTATTCAGAAAAGTGGTGTCAGTTCCTTTGCAGTGTCTGTGTCTTATGCCTATGAACTCCATTTTCTGGAATATCTTGCATGGGCCAGTAATACAGATACCTGTACTAGGCAATTAGTAAGCCTGAGTCCCTACAGGGACCTCACTACCGAAGATGTCGGCTTCTGATGCTCTGAAAGAAAACCTATTAATATTTATACCTTCTGCAAGCTACTATGCAATTTCTTTTCTAGCTCATTTGGTGCATTTACGTAGGCCCTACCAGATTTTTCTCTTTTGTGGCCATTTAGCTGTATCTTTAGATTTTCAGCACTGCCTATTGGCTGCTTATGACTTTTCTTACCCTGCTGTTTGGTCATTATTCTTTTTTTATTTTTTTCTTTTTAAGTCTCTGTTTAGTAAGTGCTAGATAATTGCACTCATTCCCTAGGTGGTATCTTTAGAGCATCTCTATGCTCTCTGTCAAGAGATTAGCTTTTTAGCTTTTCTTACCACACCAAGTTTCCTCATTTGTACAGAGTTTGTCTATTAAAAACTAGGCAGAGCACTCGTGGATTTTAGATGTTCATTCTTCCTACAAGAATTCTTAAGTATGCCTTGATCAGAGCTAAAAAAACTTAATTGAATGCTGCTTCTTGCTCAGGACCAGCTAGTCAGGGGTTTCTTGTCCTGTGGTTTCTACAGGAGTGGTTGTCTGAGCTTCTCGGGGAGCTTGTTTCACCAAGGTAGTCTTGGCATAAACTGGGAATTACCCAGTCTCCATGTGGAGTAACTGTCACTGTTGCATGTGATGCAATCGTAGCTTCTTTCATGTTCCTCAACATGATGACATTGGTGGCCTTGCTTTTTGGCTGTTGAAGAAATATTTAGACTAAGAATTCTGCAGTGAATTAGTGTTTCAGAACTAAAGCTCCATCGTTCTTATCCACTTTTTTATTCACTGTAGTAAGAATAACAAAAAGTATGTGTTCCTTTTGTATGTGATATTGTATCCTTCAGATGTTATGTTTGTTTTTTGAATGTTGGTCTTATTTCTGGTATATTATTCAATATTGAAAAATACATGAGGGAAAATAGGTGCAAAATACCAAGTAAGATCACATATGTTTCTTTAAAAGTATTTTTGCATTTCAGTGAGGAACACAGATTTCCCCAAATATTTTCTTTACAGGTTTTTACAGTTGCAACACAGAAATTATGCCTGGTATAAATAACTGGACACCGGAAATTCAAGTAAGCCTATTAAAAGAAAATGATTTTTTTAAAATTTCAATTGTGTTGAAATATCCTGCAATACTTAAAATTTTAAATAAAAATAATATATATTAGAGACCATTAAATTTGAAAGAAATCAAAAAGATACTCGTGTGTTAGAAATAAAAGTAGTATTTTGGCAAGAAAAGTAGGATAGGAGGCACTGTTTCTTTGTGGGTTTTTTCAATGCAGTCATGTAACAGAGAACCTGGTACAAAAATACAAAAATTGGAAAATATTCACAGTAAATATGAACTTTAAGGGTTTGGGCATTTTTAAGAGCTTGGCTAAATTTTGACAGCTCTTAAAAGAAGCAAATTGTTGACTGTATTACTTAGTACGAAATAATAATATGATAACATTAATAGGCTAAGAAGAATTAGATAAAACCAATCTGGTAAGTAGAGAAAAATTCTATTCATGGTTAAGTTTTAAACACAGTGGTCATGTTTGGATGACACAATTCAGTCTCAGAGAGGATGAGTTAAAACAGATCTATTTAATGAGCTTTTGTGTCTGGTTGGCACAATGCAAGAATGCTTTGCAGAGGCACAGCTCAAAGCTGAAAAAAATATGACTGCACCAGCAGCATACTGTTAGGTTGGTGGGGTTGCCTGTGTACCTATATATGACATTCCATTATTGCCCACATGGTTGCACACAGTTAACATCATTTTTAAGAGGAGTTAAAAAAAATAAGGAGCTGGTAGAATGACTCCTTTATGACCCAACTGAAAATTTTGAGCATAGAATATTTCTGTCTTCCTTAATCACTTCTTTAATATATATTCATATGCATTAGTTCACAGAAAAATTTCCATACGTTTGTAGAATTTAATGAGCAATAAGCATTTCACTTGACTTACTATTTCTACAGTGTTTTTCCTTCCTTTCCATCCCTCTCCTTATCCCTCACTCTCTCCCTCACCATATTAAGCATTATTTGTCTGCTTTATGAATTTGTTTTGTTCTCAATATAACATAGAGGCACATACTGGGAAAAAACTAATGTGTTTGTTTCTAATTTAGATGTTCACAGCAGTAAGAGTATCCAGACTAAGCAATGTTAATCTAACAAATCAAGCTCTTAATAAGAACTTTAATGATCTCTGTGAGAATCTGTTGAAGGTAAGAATCTTATCTCAGATATTTGTTGAATTATTTAAATGGAAGTAAAGTAAAATCAGGCTATACTGAAAATAACATTTTCTTCATAATTACTTTTCTGAATTAGACTACAAAGTGTCTGTGATTAGCGTGTAAGTTGCTGTAAAGATAGATTTCTTGTAGTATATTGAGGATTTCCAAAGTTTTTAGTCTGAGTCTTTTGACTAGTAGCATACTGTAGAAACAGAAAGACTGTTACACAGGACATTGCATTTTACTTTGACATTTCATAGAATAGTAGAATGGTTTGGATTGGAAAGGACCTTAAAATCATCCAGTTCCAACCCCTGTGCCATGGGCAGGGATGCCTCACCATAGACCATATCTCCCAAGGCTCTGTCCAACCTGGACTTGAGCACTGCCAGGGATGGAGCATTTACCACTTCTTTGGGCAACCTGTTCCAATGCCTCACCGTCCTCACAGTAAACAATTTCTTCCATATACCTAACCTGAACTTTCGCTGTTTAAGTTTAAACCCATTACCGATTGTCCTATTGCTACATTCCCTGGTAAGGAGTCCCTCTCCTGTATCCTTCTAAGCCCCCATCAGATCTTAAAAGTCTGCTATGAGGTTACCACGCAGCCTTCTGTTCTCCAGGCTGAACAGCTGCTATTTTCTCAGCCTGTCTTCATGTGGGAGGTGCTCAAGCCCCTGTATCCTCATGGCCCTCCTCGGGACTTTTCCATATCCGTGTTATGTTGAGGACACCAGAACTGCACACAGTACTCCAAGTGGGGTCTTACAAGAGCAGAGTAGAGGGGCAGGATCATCTCTTTCACCCCACCGGTCACGCTTCTTTTTATGCAGCTCAGGATACAGTTGGCTTTCTGGGCTGCAGGCACACACTGCTGGGTCATGTTAAGTTTCTCTTCAACCAGCACCCCCAAGTCCTTTTTCTCAGAGCTGCTCTCAATCCAGTCTCAGCCCAGCCTGCAGCTGTGCCTGGTATTGCCCCAACACAGGTACAGGACCTTACACTTTGCTTTGTTGAACTACATGAGGTTGGCATTGGCCCATCTCTCAAGCATGTCAGAGTCCGTCTGGATGGCATCCCTTCCCTCCACCGTATCAACCAAACCACACACCTTATTGTCATTGGCAAACTTGCTGAGGATGATCTCAATCCCACTGTCCATGTCACCAACAAAGGTGTTGAGCAGGATCAGTCTCAACACTGACCCCTGAGGGACACCATTCATTACCCATCTTCAGTTGGACATTGAGCCATTGACCTCAACACTGCTATGTCCTTATCCACTGGGTGATCCATCCATCAAATTTATGTCTCTCTGTTTTAGAGACAAGGATGTCTTGTGAGGCAGTGTTGAATGCTTTGCACAGGTCCAGTCACACTTCTGATTCCTCTTCAAGAACAGATTAGTGTGATTACATGATTTCTACTATGAAAGAGTTTAAATTAGTTTCTGAAACAAGCCATACATTTTTTTAGAGAAACACAAGTAATGTCTTGTCTTCAACAGAGCTTGTATTTTAAACTGCGATCTATGGTTCCCTGCTGCCTTTGTCATGTGAATTTTACAGTTGCTCTACCAGAGGATGAATTAGTTCAGGTGAGTTAACTGCTTCTTTTGAGTTTCAGCACATAAGCATGCCAGTTTTAGCCTTTAATGAACATTTGCTGCTCAGAGTAAGCTAAGCTAGGATTTGATTTACTCATATGCCTGATGAATTCTGAAGTAAAATTTAAAGGCATGTTAGGTGAAGAAAAAGGGACCTGTCGAGTTCACCAGTTTTGAGAATCACGGGGCTACGTGGTATTTCAGGAGCACAGTGCATCTTAAGAGTGTGTATCTTTTTAGTTGGATAGTAAACAAAAAGACCTCACTAGATACCCATTAAAAGGTGTTATTACAGATATACAAGAATATGACAGACTGCTTTGCTAAATATGCTTTCGTTATGGTTTGGGTTTTGGTTTTGTTTTTGGTTATTTTTTTTTTTTTGCTGCTTCAAGCTGATGTGATATACCATTTTTAAAGAAAATGTTTTCTTTAGAAGTACAGCATTCTTGTGTTCAGTTAAACATCTCTTTCTCTTTTACAAATAAAATGATAATGAGCTTTTATGATTCTTTTTTATGTCCCTTCACCAAGAAAGAATGAAAGAATTTATGAATTAAATCATAAATGGGGGACAAACACTGTCAGGTGTGTGTTCTAACAATGGACTTTAGTATTACCTTTTATGCTATCCTGTGAAGGGTTTTTAGTATGTCTGCTTAGATGACCTTTTTCCTCTATTATTTTTCTATGTATAAAGCTGGCTTGTTTGCAAAATTGTTTTTGCAGATTGCATGAGAGGTAAAGTTACCTAACATGTCATATATTTCTGATTTTCAGATTGCAGTCACAGCTGTTGCAATTACATATGACAAAACCCAAGCATTACAAACCAACAAAGGCCCTACAGAAAAATCACAGCAAAGAGGTAAGTGTTGAGGCCTGTAAAGATAAGAGATAATGTTCGTTCTTTTTTTTTCCCCCGGTACCTAATGAGTTTGCATTTTAATTTCAATTACATATACACATTTTTAGAGTGATGTACAGTAAAATCATAAAGTTATAACACAGAGATTTTTTAGAGTTCATAAATGTGACCTCCAGTAGGATGAATGATATATGAAGTATTCCATAATTGCTTTATGTAGTTAACAAACATATAGTAACATGAACAAAAGCTAAGTATTGCCTTATTCCATGCACCATCCTTCTTTGAATCATTTTTCTCTAAAGAATTAGTGTAACAGATGATGACATTCCCATTGTATTTTGAAACATGTGGTACAAGTCATTAGAGAATACTTGTTCTGTTAAGTAGCAAATTTTGTCCTTACTTCAGGAAGGCAGAAAATAAATTATTCATAATGCTTCAGAAAACCTCCCTAGAACCCTTAAGTAGGTCAGTAATATTTTTGGAGATCAGTGAAGCATATAGCATTATGGAGGGAGTAGAAGAGACTGCTGCAAGCTGCATATGTCATCTTGCTAATGAAGCACCATCTTAAGCTAGAAATGTATGTATGCAATCTGGGTACCAGAATTTAGACAGAACTTGAAGATACTCCATTCTGAAGAATGGAATTAGGTAGTTAGAGCCATATGTTTCTAAAACATTAGTTATACCTTACTTCAATAGTAACAGTAAATTTTCTTTTATATGAAATAAATTGCTACTATCTAATATATTGTTAACTAGGCTCCAACTACAGATTCAAACCTAAAATGCATGAGTTGACATAAATTTTTTTCTGAAAAGACTAAATCAAATTCTCTTTACTGCAACATGAGTTCTGTTCAGTTTTGCAGCTGGATTTATTGTCAGACATGTAACTGTCCAGGGCTGCATCACTGTAGGCATATGTTGAGAAAATTTGTTCTGATCAGACCTTGAATAAATTGAATCTGGAGTGCTTACTATTAGTAGCAAATCTTATTTTGGGGATTAATTATCAATTGGGTATGTTTTCTTTGTTGAAGCATCTACAGACAATGAAGAACAGCTGCAGTTTCCATTGGAACTTTGCTCTGATGCCCTTGCTTCTCAACCATTCTCACCATCTAAAGGTCTGTTAAATGGCAGAGTGCTGAACTATTGTTTTCTACTGATTCTGAGTTCTGATTTTTCATTGTTGCAGTAGCTTTAAAATATCTGTACTGTTACATGCTTTAAATATTCTTTATTGCCTAAGAATAATAGATATGTTCATTCCTAAAGCTGAATTTTTTGTGGGTTACGTAAGATGGCTTGGAAAATCATTCTGTGTATGTTCTTTTGTAGATTACCTGTAGCTCCTCTGTCTTTGCGTTTAAAATGCATCAAAAATGCTGCAAGCCGCTGGGTGTTGCACGTCATTTGACTTAAAGAATTATAAATTATTTAATAATTAGGTTTGCCTCATACTGCTTTACTTCTGCAAATGGCCCATGTAAAAGAACTCCATGTATTGTCAGCCTCAGATAATTAATCTCATTGTTTTCATGGTGGGAATTACCTTATCTAGCAAACACTGCTTGTTCAGCTGAGCAAAATTGCATACTTTTTTTTTTCCGAAGTGAAAAGAGCCTAAACTTGCATAGTAAATAATTTGTGCAGTGTAGCTTGTTTTAGCTGTTAAAGCAGTCGCTTTATTTTACCTGTGATAGAGCTGCATTTCAGGAATGGTTGTCACAGTTCTCCTGTGATTGTATTAAAAATTAGGTGGTTATTCACTGAAATAATCTCTTTACTTCCTCTGCGTTGTTGGATTATCTGCCCACCAAAATAGCTAGTGATAGGCAATTTAGTATCTTGAGGATTATTGTAAATGTTCTTTTTAGTAAAGTATTACTGCTTCCTTTTTTGCCCTTTGCATAGGTTGCATGATGGAAAGTGCCTACCACATTTACTTGTATTTTCAAAGGCCAGTTTAATTTCAGCAATAATATTGCTTTGTATTTTTTTTATTTATTTTTACTTTTTGCGCATTTGTGTATCATTAACTTTTAATTGGTCACATTATGACGCTGTTAACCTTTGATTTTCTAAAAGAAGAGCTAGCCAGAAATTCCTGACTGGTGTCTTTTTCACTAGACTGTGCTACTTGTATAATGGGCACTGACCAGTAGAGGGTAGCCTCTTCACGTGTATCCCTTTTCCTGCTGTTCTTCACATTCCATGTTGGACTGTATGTAGCTTTAGAGGCTTTCAACTAGATAATTATTTATTGTATTTATTATCTGTCATTTCCTCACAAGTGAACTCTATGTTTAATTGTATTTACCCAGTGGCTTATTTAATATGTTGATAACTTTTTCACATAATTACCTTGAGATTGTTATTTTAAAAATGTTTGTATACAACCTCATAGAGTAAGGACCTTTAATAAATGATCATATGGGAAGGCAGATTTAGCAAAGTTAGTTATTTATACTGATTTATTATATGTTATCAAAGTTCATCATATACTGTATATAAAAGAAGTTTTTCCTCATATTTTGCTCTAAAAATTTATTTTTATAAGAACAAAGCTGTTGTCCTGTACTACATGACTCTGCTCATATATTACCTGAATAGGATTAATTTTGTCTTATTAGAAGTCCTGGAGGGTGCAAGTTCTCACACAGGTATTCCTGCGGCTCAGAGAGGTGAGTTTACTTAATTTAGCCCTACGCCAGAACAGAATGAGCATTCTTGGGATATTGGTACACTCTTTTTGGATGTGTCTTAATCCAGGAAGTGTTTACTAGTTAACTGAGAATGCATGCTCTGGTGTGGCTTAATGATACAATAATATTTTGATGTGGTTTTTAATTACAAAAGTCAGATTTGTTAATAAGTGTTTCTCTGTCAGATACATTGATATCACTTTATCTGACAGAAAGTCCCTGAGAGAGAGCTTTTTTGCTTGTGTTAATTTGAAGTTAGCATGTGTTCCTACTGTTTCTTCAGGATAATGAAGAAACTGTGTTTACAAAAGCTTTTTGTTTTTCTTTTTTTTTAAGATATGCAAACACCTTTGCAACTAATAACAAAAGTCATAGCAGAAACAACTCTACTTCTCATTGTAATGGTAGGGGAGGGGAAAGGGTATTTTGAGAGGGAATGGTGGGGAAATGAGGACAGCATTTTGTAAGGAAAATTCATTTGTATTTAAAACTGAGGTGTTGTTTCAGCTTGTGACTCTTACCCTCATCACCAAAGGTTTTTCTTCAGTCTTTAGGTCAGATATTGATAAAGATAGTTAGGAAGTTTAAATCATGATCAGCAGCTCTTTGTCTTGAGGAAAAGAATAGCAATGAAAACTAAAATTAAACAAGGCTCAAATAAACTTTAAAAAGCCAAACTTAATACCTAATATGAGATTAAAATAAAAATCTAGTCTTAGTCGTTAATGACTGTATTTGCATGTTTTTTCAGTGATGAAGTCCCAGTCAGGCAGTTGGTTCACAGCTGGGACATCACCAGAAATCGGTACATTGGTTTGGACAAATCAAACCTATACAGTAACTTTTCCTTCAAACAGACCTGGAAAGGGATGTTTGTTCTCTCTCAGACACAGATAATTGCTTCCTCAAAAGGAGCATTGAGATGAGCAAGAGACATCATCCATATTTTTTTCTTTGTTTTTTCTTTTGTTTTTCTGTCTGTGTTTTCAGCAACGTCAGTTGATTACAGTTCCTTTGCAGACAGATGCAACAGCTGGATAGAGCTCATTAAACTGAAAGCTCAGACCATAAGGCGCGGATCAATTAAGACAAGTAGGCGGCTGTTTCTACCACGTTATGATAATCTGAGACATATCTCTGATTTCCCAGTGGTGAATAGTGGAGTTCCCTGCCCAGCAATAGTATTGCAGATCATGTGTAGAATGAATACCTGAGTGTGAAAACTGCCGACATTATTAATGTCTTTGTAAACTAATATAGGGTTTATAGTATCATAAAAAGCAAAATATAGTATTTCTGTTCACTTAGTAAAATTTAGTTATTGATAAATGTGTACGCCTACTAATTATATAACATACACTGCATGGATGTAGGTGTATGTATGATCTTGGAAAAAATTTGGTGAGAAACAGGAAGCAATCACCAAGGTGACAGTCAAGGCAATGGTCACTAAATTAGCAAGTGGTGAGTTATTTTTCAGTAGTTCTTTGGCCACAGGTCTGACTATCTTGCTTAAATTAGCAGAGATTAATATCTGTTTTAATGGAAAATGCTGCACTGGGGAAACACAACAACTTTCACACTTCCTGTAATTTGTTCCTCCAGCAGAATATGTATTCCAAAATGTTGGCACTTTTTTCTTTACCTTCACTTTATAACTGATTGTTGTATGTGCAGCTACTCGCCTCAATGTTTTCCTTTGCAGGAATGCCACTCTTCCAAATAAATTCCATTTCAGCTTTTTGTCTCCTTTTGCATGCACTGCATGATAATTTCCTTTCTCACATGGTATGGCTGAGCATCACAGGCAGCTGAATGTTGTCACCAAGCTATTTGGAAACCATAAAGAAGAATTTTTGTGTTTTGAAAAACAGTAATCAATCTTACTTGACACTTACTTGCTCTTCTTTTTTCCCATCTTTTTAGCTGCTTCACTTGATAAAGCAAGTCCATTGGCTGAGGGGTACTTACGGCACCGTTCTGTTCCATCATGCACCAATTCTACCGTCTCAGTTGTTAAGATGACACCTCTTTCTTTTCTACCTGGGGCAAAAATAACCAAATATCTTGGGATAATCAACATGTTTTTTATACGAGAAACCACTTCTTTGCGTGAGGTGAGCTGTGTATCAGGGATTAACACTTTTTGTTCATTTTAATAATCAGAGGCAAATATCTGAAGAGACTTGAGTCTGGGATATGGCACGGCAAGGGAATAGAGTTCTTGTCACTTGAGGGTGGGTGCTGAATGGGAAATAAGTTGCATTTGCTACTCTTGTTACAGAGCATGCAGGGCTGCTTTGTCTGTAGCAATCTTAGGAAAGGGCTACTGAACCATTGTTGTTGCTTTTGAATTTGAATATAATACTAAACCAGTGAGTTCTTAAATAGGACTATATAGAAAAAAATGTGCATTTGACCAACAACATTACTAGTTTGGATTATTTGAACCCTAACTGAGGTTAATTTTAAATGCTAAAATAATTCCATTCTTCTCTCATTGAGCAACCTCAATGGTGAACTTTCACAGAGCATTTCGATTTCAGAATTCATTGTTTAATACAAGATCTCCTGTATCATATATAATTGTTATGCTGATTATTAATGTTATATTCCATGCATTCTCAGTAAGGTCGCTCTGTGTGATGAACATCTAAAAAGCAAGCCATAGAGTATATAACTCCACAACCAGCTTAGGGGGTGTAGCTAGTGATACTCAAACAATGATTTCCAGTCTGGATCTGGACAATAGATCCTGTGAGCATGCCAAAATGCAAGACATGTTCTTATCCTTTTCATGTTCTTTTGGGAAGTAGCATCTTTCTGGTACAATTTCTGACCACAGAAATATAATGTACCTCTTACCTGGCTTGTCAGTGATGAAGTGTATGCTGTTTCTTGCTAATTACGGATTGATAAAATTCCAGAGCAGAAGTTAATAAAGATTATCAGCTCTCTAAAGAAACTTTGATCAAACATCTTGTTTCAGTCTTGCGAATTATGGCCTCTTTTAACTTAAGCAATTTATGTGAAAAGGACAGCATTTTCAAAAGGATGTATATGATACCATTAGGGAAGTGATTACATGACTCTTCTGTACTAGCTACAGCTTATGTGAATACAAATTAAATAGCTGATAAGCAAGCTTTGGTATTTATGATAGCAGAACTCGGCAATGGTATGTTCCTCAAGTATTTGATTCAACTCCTCCATGAAGTCAGGATGGTTGTAAAGTTTCTGCAATAGTGTCAGTGTGCTATTTCCAGTACCCAGGGCAGCTAATTTACATATAATATAGATGCATAGGCCAAGTCCCAGACCACTTTTAGTACCAGTTGCACAGTATTGCACTGAGGCTGTAACAAAGTCAAAACAGCAGTTGTCATATCTAACTCAAGCAACTTTCAGATTTTCATATTCTACAGAAAAATAATTAGCAGCGTTTGTGTTGCTTTATATTTTGCTTACAGTAGTTTACAGGATATTGAGGCCCTATGAATACTTTCATAATCTGGAGTATATACCAAACAGTGTGCTTCAAAAATTAATGAAAATTTTAAGTCAGATTTATCCATTACTCTTAGGTTTTGTTGTTTACAGGTGGATATTCATAATCTTTTGTTACCTGTTATAATCAAAATTTGTATTAGGTTTATAATATTACAGATTTTCTTTTTCTTCCCTGCTGTAATTGTTAAAACGCGTGGACAAAATCAAAATTCCACAAGGAATGACAAACTTGTATTGCAATTTTGATTTCGGGCTGCAGTTGACTTCATTCATGCTTTATGCTTGGATTGGTGAAATTATACTTGCCCTTTTGTTTAATTTTCATCCAAACTATGTTTTCTTATGTTTTTATGACTCTACTCAGGGTAGATGATACTTCTTCCAGCAGATATGAGGGCAGCCCATGTTTGTTGAAGTTCAGCTTAGCTAGCCTCTTCTTCTACCTGCTTCTTCCATTTCTGAAGTGGCATGCACACTTGTGGGATGTCTAGAGATCTTGCCTTTGATTTTCGTTTTGAAATTTTATAGAGGTTTTGAACCAACAGTGACCTCTGTTTGATCAGTTTCTCCATTTTTTTTTCTGTGGATTTTGTATTTTTTGGTCAGTTGCATGTTTATTGTGTGTTGGGTTTTTCCCCGCAATGCGGTTGCTCACATTCTTTGATAAGGATTATCTAGAAAAAACCCCATACTTAATTGTTTTCCTTCTCCTTTCACAGAAATTAAAATTATTCATCTTGTACCAAAGAAGTAAAAATCCCCCAAAAGCTCCATCAAGTCAAAAATCCTAATGAAACATGATGGTTAGACATTCTTTTGGGTTTCAGTGAAGGGAAAAACAATAGACCAGCTTGAATAGCTTGCTTGTCAAGTAGTTACTTTGTCCTTTGCTTACTTTGTATTTTGAGGGGTAATTTCTTTACTGAATGTTGAGAGCTACTGACAGATGAAGTTGCTGTGATGGCCACTTAAAAATAATTTCCAAGAAGTCTAAATCTCTTTTAATCCTTGGTAGAAATTTTTCTTTATCTGCTTCTCAGTTCTCAAAAAAAAACCCAAAAACGCACTATCCTCCTGATGGAAGAAGAAAAATTATTATTCAGCTGTCATTGAAGTATTAAATGCAGAGGCGTAGAAACGTCTGAAAAGTACACGTATGTGTAATATAGTGGCTGCAAAAAATGCCAGTCACAAATGAATAACCTTGTGATTATTTTCCTCAAACAGTAAGTTCCATTAGTCTGATGTTTCGCTGTGACCCGTTTAACAGCGAGTGGCTTTGAAGTTCTATACAGTTCTATACAATTTAGGATTCACTGAAATATTGAGCTGATAAAAGTGTTAGAAAAGTATCCAGCATCTTGTAGCTACAGCTAAAATAAAATGTAATTTTTCTTCTATTTCAGGAGGGTGGTGTCAGTGGTTTTCTCCATGCTTTTATTGCTGAAGTGTTTGCAATGGTGAGAGCTCACGTTGCAGCTTTAGGAGGGAATGCAGTTGTCTCCTACATAATGAAGCAGTGTGTTTTCATGGAGAATCCAAACAAAAATCAGGTAAATTATGATCTGAAATAACAGTGCTTGTTGTGATTAGTATGATGCAATTAAACATTTTATGTATTTGAAAAACAGTGACCCTGTTATATCTGCATAACACTTCTGGATCTTTCATCATAATGTTTCGTTAAAGAAGCTAAGAGTGTTCTTGAACATCTGAGTTAATACAAAATTATGAATATGCTTCATAAATACCCAAATAGGTAAAAATACTAAGTTTACTAAAATGAAGTAGATTATAGGAAATATTAAACAATTGTACTGAACTTTTTTAGCATCTGTGATGTTACAGTGTTAGGTTTTTTATCCTAACTCCATGTAAGAACACCTGGAGTTGCTGATATAAAATGCTCTATTTTGGACAAAAAGGGAAAACACTTAATTGGCAAAGACGACACCAGAATATGGTTGTTTTGTTACATGACGTATGTTCAAAACAGTAGCAAAAGGAAGTACAGCTATCCAGATATTTCATTTGTGGTGGTCTTATGAGAATCTGTCTACATGTTTGAGGGCACACAAATGAGTGAATACAAAAGAAAATATGGTAGAGATTGCCTCATTAATAAATTCTAGTAATTTGTCCTTCTCCTGATCTCTGACTCTTCTGTTATCTGTGTAGTATCTAGCAAATATAAGTAAACATAAAATATAAATAAAATGTATTGTTTCATGTTCAGTAACCATTTATTGTCTTTTCTTTTTCAGGCACAGTGTTTAATAAATGTCAGTGGTGATGCCGTCATCTTTGTACGTGAATCTGAGCTAGAAATGTTACCAGTCCAGCCTTCTACAGCTGTTTCTCAACCCACAAGTACAGGAGGAGATGTCACAACATGAAGACAGAAAAAATTAAATAATTTCTGCCAAATATAAAGATTATTTAAAATGTGGGAATGTTTAGGTTTGCATCTTCAAAACTGGTATCTACCCATGATGTTAATAGCCAAAATCTGAGACAATCACTATCCTTTGTCCTTTAACTTTATGTAACAGTCAAGGTAGCATATCATCAGGTATGCTGTCATGTATTTGTTGTAATTACAGGCACCTGTGAAACCTAGGAGCATGGATTGAAATAGTAAGCATCACATGGCATTGTGAAAGTGAACAAAAATTCTGTTGCATTTTTGAGCTGTTGAACAGGACCACGAGAAGCTATAATTCAGAACCATTTCTGAGTTTGCATATTGTATTAGCTGAGTTCCAGCTCTGTTTAAGAACTAAAAGATGAGTTGGGGTGGGTGGGAGATACTGAGAAGCCTGTGTTGGCAACCATTGCTGAAGGAACAAGAGAAAGAGGCAAAGAACATGTGAGCTGAAGCCTGAACGTGCATCATAGAGTGTGAGGAGGAAGAAGCAGCACCAAAACATTACAGTTTGAATTTCTTCACACTAAAAATATTTTTAAACTGTTTGTGAACTGCTGATTTGTTTTTCTAAAGATTATTGCTAAGCAGCAAATGTTTTGGGTGGGTGTTCTGGGTTTTTTTTGTTGTTCTTGGTTTTGTTTTTAGCAAGGTGCCAGACCATGATGCAGACTTCATAGTCATTCCTGTGGTTTAAAAAAAAGAACAAAAAGTTCTGAAGTGTGTTTGGTGCTATAATAAGATGTTCACTTCCACATTGACAAGACAAATCTTTTTTTAATATAAGATTCTGTGAAAGAATTGCCCTGAGGCTCATTTTCTTAAGGCATGATCTCTTGCAAGGATGACATGAAGAGTCTTCCAAAAGTCATTTGTACAAGAGGTAGTCTCCAGTCTCCTTTCCATTTAACAAGTTGGCAATGCCTTGTTAATAGGAGATTAATGTATGTTTGTGATGCTGCTTTCTGCAAGTTGAGGATTTTGTTGTTGGGTTTGTTTTTTTTTTCCCCGTACTGTAGCTGGGAAATAAGGGTACTGCAAAGAAAGGAAATTTGTCATTTCCATTGAGTGTCTGAAAGGTGGTGATGTTTGAAGATACAAAATGCAAACTTTGATTTGAAGATGCATTCTTACTTAATTCTGACAATACCATTCATGGAACTTGAACAAACATGTAAACTTGAATGTAAATATTCTGCTTGCAAAGGCATGATTATTTGTTAAAACTAATTATTTCACTGTAAATGAGCATGGAAATCATTCTTGCACATTAAATTTCTTTACAAAATTAATTGCCTTTTGATATGTGTAATAGTTAAATGTGTACGCAGGATACAAACTAAAGATGTCCCCCCCCATTCTCCTCAGAGGAACATTTTTGTATAGAAGTTACAACCTGATTATTTAAAATTTGTTATCATTATGTTTAAAATGCTTGAATTAGGTGCTTAGCAGAACATTTTATTCATCAATTAATTGTCTTTCTAAATTCTGTAGCAGTTGCAGCTAAAGCTGCCGTAAATTAAGTCACCGGTAAATAGTTGCATCTCTTGATTATTTTGCAAGGCAAATCTTGTTCCCTTTGGAGCTAATGGCAGAATATTAATAACTTCAGAAGGTCTTGGAGCTGACACAAGAAGCTGTTTTCAACAGAAGTGTTCAGCATGGAAATTATCTGTGAAGTAGCACATGAAAGTTGTGGTTCCTAAGCTATTTTTTTTTCTGTCCTTTGTTGTTTTGGTTTGGTGGTTTTTATTGGTAGCTTCTATGGAAGTATTAATGCCATCTTTTAATTTCTAGCTATTTAAAAGGTCACAGTATCTTCTAGTGTATTTCATTAGACATAGAGGATGAGCTTTCTCATCTAGAAAATTTTAATTCTTCTCTAATTATTATTCCAGAAATGACAAAGGTGTTTTTTAACTGTTACTAATTGGGATTTAGCTTTTCGCAATTGGTTCAGCTGGGTAAATTTAGTCATGCTAAATAGTTAGTCATGACTTACTAATATGCAGTTTTGATTGTGGGACAGTCATTGATGTTTCTGCTGAACTGGGAGCAGTTAATCAGTGATACCCTGCTCTTTACTCGAAAGGGACTTCCTAGTGTGGGGAAACACTTGTGGCTCAAACAAACATTGCTTTGTCAGGATTTTACACCGAGAACAGCTGTCTGGGGGTAGGAGCTAATGTAACTTGCTTGAACTGGTTTTGGCTGGGATTGAGTTAATTTTCTTTATAGCAGCTGGTATGGTGCTGTGTTTTGGAGTTGTGACCAAAACAAAGTTGTTAACACAGGGATGTTTTAGCTATTAATTGAAGAGTGCTTGCACAGCGTTAAGCTGACCCAGATTGACCTCTGCAATATCCCATACTGCAGAACACTGTGCTCAACAGTAAGCCTAGAGGTGCTTTTTGCATCACTTTTCTTTGTTTTGTCCTTTTATTAAACCATCTCAATGCATGAGCTTTCTCCCTATTGCCTTTTCAAGTATCTTACCCTTCCTGCTGGAAGGAAGAAGCAAGTGACCAGCTGTGTGGTGTCTGACTGCCCACCAGGGTTAACTCACAGCATTGCCGTTTTCTCTTGACTTGACGAATCCAAATGAGAGTGAAGTGAAAATAGTCCTGCTCCAATCTGCAGCCCTCAGAAAAACCGCTAAGCTTGTATCTAAAACCTTCACATCAATATTGTGAACAGATGGAGTGGTACCATCCTTCATTAGAAAGGAGTGGTAAAATCTGCTATGAAAGACCTCTTCTCCAGGCACTGCTTTACTTGGAGCAGTGAAGCTAGGTCTATGTCAGGCTTTCAGGTGACTGTGCTGTGTTCAGGACCTGAACATCCATCTCCTCTTGGAGAACAGCAACAAACTACGGAAGAGCATCTGCAGATGATGCTGGTGCTTGCTGCTTCTTTCCAGTTTATCCATCAATATTTTCAGAGCTCCATAGCGCTTGCTAAGTCAGCCAACTAGCTTGCAGGTGGGCAGGAATTAACTTGGAGGGAGATGCTGGCTTCATGGCTTCATGTCCCAACCAACATAGTGTTTTAGGAATGAATCTTCTGGAATAACATCCCTCTTTTTCTCATTCCTTTTTTGGGGTTGGTTTTTTTGTTGTTTTTTTTTTCTCAACTAGAAGCCTGTTTTTAGAGCTGATTGCAAAGTCCTCAGCTTGCTTTTTCCCCTCCTTGTTAGCCTTCAAGTTTATGAACTCCAATACGCACACGTGAAAAGTGCCAAGTGAGAGCAAATGTCCTCTAGAGAATGGTGTGAAATTAATTGTGGTTCCCCTCTCCCCCAGGTGGAATTGGAAGTTTTTTCTTGGTGTTTAGTTGGAATGAGAGTTTCCTTGGACATGAAACCTGAGGGTCTGGTTCACTTTTGTCAGACTGAAAGACACCTCTGCACCATACTTCCTAGAAACTGAGAGGCAAATACATGAAAATAAAAGCAAGACAGATGCAGGGAATTACAAACAGATGGGAAGAGTGAGATGTCAATAGCTGAAATTTCTGGAGAGCTCTCAGTTTGCTTTTGGTTTTCAGATAAGGACAGACAGAAGTTTTGATGAATGATCTGAGTGAGTAAGAGGAGTTTTCTTGGCAAGCCCATTATGAGCAACTGTGCTGCTGCAGCATCTGCAGATCTGCTGTCGCGCCTTGGGCTGTGTGGCAAGAGAAGTTTTCTTGCTATGCAGTATTTGTAGTATTGGTAGATAGGAGAAAGGTCAGTTTTGACTACTCTACAAGGCAGAAATGAAGTAAAAAAGGGTGAAGTGACTTGCCCTGTTTGCCAAAGAGTTCCAGGCCCTGGGAGCATCAGCAGGCCTTGCAGTCCCTCCTGGCCTCATCCCACCCTGTCTGTGGCCCAGGGCCCCATTTCAGTCCCTAGGGCAGGAGCCGCAACCCCTGTGATACAGCCGCAGGGCTGATCTCCAGCTCCCCTTGGCCCTGTCTGGCCATGGTCGCTTCTGTGCTGGGGCTGCCCCACTGTGCCCATCACTCCCTGTGGCCCTGAGCAGTAGCATGGTGCAGGGGTAATGACTGTTTCAGAATCTAGGCTGACGCAGTAGCTTAGGTATCAAGCTACCATTCATTTTTAAGCTTGTGTAAGTCATGACACGCCTGACACGCTGAAGTTTTCCAGTGGTAGGAAAGGACTTTGGCTTTCTGGGGGTCTTCCTTGCGCAGGCGAACTTTCTTCCCAGGTTTTCGAGAAGCCAGCTGTACAAACCCTGCCCAGTGTGGGAGCAAGCCGGGCTGCTGCTCCTCATCAGGTGACACTTTCCATTGGTATACCTTGAGTGTTTCACAAAATCGATTGGTATCATTTCTCCACTTTGCAGTTGCAGTAACTGAGATGTAGAAGATGAAGCAACATGCCAAGGTCATGCCTGAGGGCTGGTGGGAGAAGCAGGTCCTCTGCCAGGCATCAAGATGCTGTGCTTGTAAGTAGGGTGCAACAAGTGATGGTTGGCTGAAGACAGTTTTGTGTGGTGCTTCATCTGTTGGTGTTGTGCCTACAAGATGAATGTGTTGCCTGAAAAGCGATCCTCAGATTGCACCAATGTGGATGGAGTTAATAATGTTAGATAAGAATTTACTGTGTGTATCAGTCAATGGGCAATTTCCTGAGTAGGAGCTGAAGTCTGAAATAGTTGATTTAATTTTGGAAGCAGGAGTCACATTTCAGTTGACTTGCAGTTTTTTAACTTAAACATGCATATCCACATTAAATGATAAACATTTATTTTTGTTGCAAAAGGATTTCCATTATCATGTACAGAAATATCTCCTTACATTGTAGGGAGGATAGGAGCTAGTGTGATCCCAGTTCTGGTTTCACTGTAGGGAGGATAGGAGCTAGGGTGATTCCAGTTCTGGTTTCATTTTCTTAAAATCAGATGTCTACAACACTCTAATTAAGAAGAATCTTTGCCTGAAAACCTTGTGAGATTTTTGGAAATGGCGGAGTAATTAATTACAACCTTGTGAGCAGAATATTCAGCCCTGAAGAGCTCTTAAATTTTGAGGGAGTGCAACCACGCCTGGTAAGCTTTGAAGAGACACCATCATCTCTCAGCATGCACTCTAAAAGCCAGAGGAGTGAATGAAAGCACTCACAGACAGCAACCCTTCTTATTGCATCCCTTCTCTGACTGGGCTGTCTGTGCCCTCTCCCTGCCCAACACCATTAAGGGATCCTGCCCTGGGCTACCCCCTTCCTTCTCTCCTTGCCCTGTCCCTGGAGGGTTTGGTTAACCACAGGTTGGCAACACTGCACATACTTACCTTCTTATTTTGCTCTGCACAAAAGAGGGGAGGCTGCTGTGTTTAAGTTTGGAAGTTGCGTATTCTGTTCACGCTTCTTGTGGGACAACAGGCCTATCTGCATTGCAGAGCTGTAATTCAGTTTTCAAGCTTTTACTGAAATTGATGATCTATTTATACTTTGGCCTCAGCCCAAGGGGTGGTGCTGTTTGCACGAATGGAAATGGCTGAGAGAAGATGAAATGAAGAGTTGCTTGTTATTAAATTATCATAATCTCCCACCTCTGTCTTCCCCGGCTCTCAGATCCTGCCCTTGTGCTGCGTACTGTGTGCTTTGTTACTGATGTGCTCTGTCAGTTGAAGTTCTGTGTGCAAAGTGATCAGAGCACACTGGTCTGGAGGGATCTCTTGTACATGCCAGAAACCTGAAAACAGGCTTTTAAATTGTCACTTTAATTTTACATCTGTCAACTGTTAAACTTATCTAGAGGCCATGTGAAGAGAATGAAACTTAGCAATAATGTGTTCACACCATTATTTTCATGTTAGAGCACTACTTGTTGAAGAGGAAATGCTCATGTGTTTCTTACACCACTGCTGGCTTCGACTGTCTCCACAACTAGCAGTATAGCACATCTGTGCACCAACTAACAGCTCAGGAAGAGTTTTGTGTCTCCAGGCTATTTCCATATTGCCACTGCAGAGCAAGGGGGACTGAGATAAAGAAGGAAAAGGCAAGAGATGGGGTAGATGAAGGAACCTAACATAGGCACGAGAAGCAAAGTACATAATGAAGTTGAGTGAATAATGATTCCCCAACCAATATAAACAAGAAGTAATAAAGTACGACAATGTGCTGTTTCAGCAGTCACTACAGAAATATCTTGCTCTCATTCAAAACTTATCATTAGGGCTTCAATCACTGCAGAGATCTAGATAGTTGTCTGGATTTACTGTGAGGGACAAGAAGATTCGCAGGATGCTAACTCGCTACCTTGAGAGTCACTATGTTTTACCA